TGCAGAGGTTATCAACTTAGAATGCAGCATAAGGGTAGGCCCTAATCAAATATGACTGGTGTCCTTAAAAGGGGGAAAATTGAGGGGTACCTGGGTGACTCAGTTGGTTAAGCGTCTGACTCTTGATTTCAGCTCAGGTCATGATCCCTGGGTTATGAGATCTGGTCCTCCATCACTCCGCTGGGCATGGAGCCTGCTTCAGATTTTCTCTCTCCCTCTCCCTCTACCCCTGCCCTAGCCTCTAAAAAGGTGGGGTGGGATTTAATACAGAGACAGACATACAAAGAGGGAAGATGGCCCTGTGAAGATACAAGATTGGAGTGATACATCTGTAAGTCAAGGAACACCAAAGATTGCTGGCAAACTTTCAGAAGCTAGAAAGAGGCAAGGAAGATCCTTTTCCAATAGGTTTCAATGGAAGTGCTATCTTGCCCACACTTTGATGTCAGACTTCTGGTCTCCAGAACAGTGAGTCAATAAATTTCTGTTGTTCTAAACTACCGAGTTCCTAGTACTTAGTTGTGGGAGCCCTAGGAAACTAATACAGTCCTACTAATAGGTTAATCTCAAAAGGAGATGAAAAATGACATATCGTCCAAGGCCACCCAGTGTTCAATTCTTTCGGGAGTGTTACGTCACTTCCTACTATGGAGAAACTTGGGTAAATAAAAGAAGATCCCCCTCATCCAGACCACTAGATAGTATTTTGAATTGTTACATTAACAATTATAATTATGGCCACAGCTCTACACCATGGAAGTGGCCCACTAAAAATAAATAAGATTTTCCTATTAACAAACTATATCCCTAGTTTGTTGGGGGATCTTCATTGGAAAACACATGCTTTTGGTCACACAAAACGCAATGGGGAAAAGGTGAATGACAACACATGACATTATAAAGTGTTTTAAATGCATATCTTACTAGTGTCCACAATAAGCAATTTTTTAAAACAGAGTGAATTAAATCCAAATGAGAAGAAATGAAATAACAAAGGCAGGATATTAATGAAATCAAAAATATAAAGCAAAGAAAATCAACAATGCCAAAAGTTGGTTCTTTGAAAGATATTTATAGGTGATAGATATTTAGCACAACTGATAAGAAAAAGAGAGATAAGACACAAATTATGAATATTGGAAATTTAAATAAAGGACACCGCTGTAGATTAAATAGGTGTGAAAAAGCTGATGAGATGGGGGTGCCTGACTGGCTCAGTACATAGAGCATAGGACTTTTGATCTTTGGGTTATGAGTTTGAGCCCCATGCTGGGTGTAGAGATTATAAATAACTAAACTTAAAAAAAGGCTAGTAAGACTTTATGAATAGCTTTACATTAACAAAGTTACAATTTAGACAAGATGTACACATTCAAAGAAAAACACAATTTAATAAGCTGACAGAAAATTATTTTAAAATTTCAAACATGTATATATTAAAGAAATTGAATCTGCAATTTAAAACCCTCTCACAAAGATGAGATGTTAAATATTAGATGGCCCTGCTAGTAAATTCATCTATACATACTTGGGGAAGGGATAATACCAGTCTTAACAAATCCTTCCACAGAATATAAGAGTAGGAATACTTCTTAACTCATTTTATGAAGCCAACATAACCTAACAGTGACATTACAAGAAAGGAAAATTACAGGGCAGTGGCTCTTGTGAGCAGATACTAAAATCCTAAACAATACGTTAGCCTCGACCTCTTCACAGAAAACTATAAATCATTTTTATGAAAATTAAAGCAGTCCTAAATAAATGAATAAGCCATAGGTACCAGTTGGAAATTTTGATATGATAAAAATGCAAATTCTCTCACAAATAGATATATAGATCCAACGAAATATCAAAATCCCAGAAGATTTACTTTTGTGAGAAGATTCTAAAGCTCATATGAAAATGCAGAGAGGGTGGAATAGCCAAGACCCCTTTGAAGAACAAAGCTGAAGAACTTGCACGACAAATGCCACCACTTGTTTTAAAGCCACAGAAATTAAGACAGTGTGGTGTTGGCACAGGGTAGGTAGACAGATAGGTGGAACCCTGTAGAGAATCCGGAAGTAGACCCAACAAATGCAGCGACCTGACTTATGACCAAGATGGCTGCAGTGCAAAGGGGAGTTAACGGATTTTTCAGTCAGTTGGGTCAAATGAATATCCATATGCAAAAACCATAGTTTGATTCCTGCCGCATATCATAAGCAAATGTGAAGTCTAGAAGATTTCGGATTTAGATCTCTAGATGGGAGAATATCTCAATAAATTGAGGGCAAGCAGACTTCTCCATGGGGCATAAAAGCACAGACCATAAGGGAAAAAAATGAAACTATTAGACGTCGTTACAATTAAGAGCTTGTGTCCATCAAAAAATAACACTGGGAGTGAAAAGGCAAGACATAGAATGGGACGAATGTACACATAAGTGTGTGTATGTGTACAAAATTTCCTATATTGAGGGTATATAACTCCTAATAGATAAATAAATCAATAGAAAAAAATGCACAAAGGACTTGAAAGAACACTTCACAAAAGAAAAAAAAATGGCTAATAAACATGAAAAGTTTCTCAACATCAGTTGTCACTAGGGAACATAAATTAAAACCCAATGATGGGGTGCCTGAGTGGCTCAGTGGGTTAAAGCCGCTGTCTTCGGCTCAGGTCATGATCCCAGGGTCCTGGGATCAAGCCCCACATTGGACCCTCTGCTCAGCGGGGAGCCTGCTTCCCCCTCTCTCTCTGCCTGCTTGTGATTTCTGTCTGTCAAATAAATAAAATCTTTAAAAAAATAGAATAAAATAAAACCCGATGAGATAATCACTACACATCCACCGAATGTGTTAATATGAAAAAGAGCCACAATACCAAGTGCTGGCGTGAATGAAAGCCCATTCCTTGCCCCTGGGAATATAAATTGGCACAACTATTTTAGTAAATTGCTTGGTAGTAGCTACAAAAGCTGGGGACATTCACACCCCTGTGGCCCAGTGATTTTACTCCTAGATAAACGTCCTAGGTAATGTATGCACGCAGTTACCAAAACACACATATAAGAACGTTTAGAGCAGCACTATTCTTAATAGCCAAACAGCCAATAATTGTTACAGTGACACAGATCCACCTTGCAAACATGCATTGAGCAAAAGAAGCCAGATACGAAAGAGCTGATACTGCATGATTCCATGCCTACAGAGTTGGAAAACAGGAAAAATGAATCAGAGGTGGTAAAAGGCAGGGGGTGCAGGGAGTGGGTGGAAGAGGGTCTGGAGAGGCTTAGGGGCAGAGCTGGTGATGGTCTGTTTCTTGATTTGGGTGACGGTGACAGTGGTATGTGAGTTTTGAAAATTGATCTAGTGACACACGCTCGTTTGTGTATTTCAATACTAAGCTTTTTTTTTTTTAAGATTTTATTGTACTTATTTATTTGAGAGAGAGATAGCAAGAGAGAGAATGAGCAGGGAGGGGAGGGAGAAGCAGGTTCCCCACTGAGCAGGGAACCTGGCATGAGACTTGCTCCCAGGACCCTGAGATCATGACCTGAACTGAAGGCAGATGCTTAACCGACTGAGCCACGCAGTTTGTCCCGCAGTATTACGTTTAGTTGAAAAGTACATATCCTATTGATAGTAGGTCTTAAAAACCACATAACATCAAGTCTGATGGATTCTTAGAATTGGAGTTCAAAGGGGAATGACCGACCCACCCTTGATGAAGCGGGGACCAGAAATATGGCTGGGAGGGTAAATTCAGGTCACACTCTGACATCCTCTCAATGCCATGCCAAGGACTTGAGAATTTATTCCGTAGACCAGACACAGTGAGCAGCAATTGAGAGAGGCAATATGACCAGATTCGTGTTAATAGAAAAATTCTTATGGCCCCCTATGAAATAAATTGAAAATGGGGAGAGAAGACACAGGGAGACTAGTGAAGACATTGTCAGAATGTTGAGACAAAAAAAAATGAAAGTTTGAGATGGCAAAGCATTTGAACTTGAGTTCTGCCCCTGCCCATCCCTGTCTGCTTCTTTATGTGGATCTGTTCAGTAAACAAGTACAGATTCTGAAAACACTGCTTCTGCTTGGAAAGTCACCATCCTAGTATCCCAGGAGTATCTTCAGTTGCTGATGACTTGCAGGAGAGGGGCAAGCCCCTGGAGGACCGGCTGTCAAACCATTTTTATTCTGACGGCTACTGGGTGCTAGTTCTTGTCATGCTTCATCACTCAGGGCACATTCAAGTATGGAATTTCCTGCTAAGGTAAAAGAAAAGTTATGCTATCTGTTGAAAAAAGTCACAGGACAGAGACTGTGAGCAGCTCAGATCTGAAGACTACCAAATTGGATCAACCCTTTTTGATACCAACTTTTTTTTTCTTTTTACCATTTTTTATTTTTTCCCATTATTCTGTATATTATTCTGTATATATTCTGTATATTACAGAATAATATATTCTGTATATTACAGAATAATGTATTCTGTATATTACAGAATAATGTATTCTGTATAT